TATATGTGTGTGTGTGTGTATATNTATATATATATATATATATATATATATATATATACAAATATAAATATATTTAATATATATATATATATATATACATATATATACATATATATATATCGTGATTATTTGAGAGCTTACTAGCATGCCCCGTGCCATGCATGATCCGTGAGAATCTCTCAAACAGCCTACCACCAGCCACGCTCAATACCAAATCACACTCATTCACAACTGCAATAATAGGCCTAATTCACACCTCCAACCCCACTCACCACCCCACCCCCCAACTACCAGATGAACGCGTGTGTGTGCATACATGCTCAGACACTACACCGACGACTACGAGTGCGATGTTGCACATGACAGCACCTATGGCGCAGGCTCACCGCGTCCTCACCTGCGGCCGGCGCGAGGGTGTCGGCAGCTTCCCCCGCGGAATGGCATAGGCATTGGCAAACATGCGCAATGGCTTAGCAATGTCTTCGGACGGGTCAAAAGTGTTGTGGTCCGCGTCAGGTAGGTACAGCAAGTGCTTACGCGAAGACGGGCAAAGGTCAAACAACTGCTGTGAATGGTACGGCGAGATGAGCTCGTCTCTCAGGCCATGCACTACCAACAACGGACACTCTACGCGACGAATAACCGCTGAGTTGTCAAAGCGCTCGGCCAGAGCGTAGGCTATAGGCCCTGGGGAGATGGGACGGGGTGCAGAGGTGTATGAATGTGGACAAATGTTAGGCAGAGACCCTATTTGTGATAGGATGGGGTGCAGAAGTGTATGAGTGTGGGAAAATGTTAGGCAGACCCTATTTGTGATAGGACGGGGTGCAGAGGTGTTTGAGTGTGGGCAAATGTTAGGCAGAGACCCTATTTGTGATAGGACGGAGTGCAGAGGGTGAAGAGGTGCGGAGCCGTGGTGTGAGGTTATTAGAAATTCAACCTGTTGATTTAAACATGCAGTTCTTGGTCATGTCGAGCGGTTTAAAGAGTCTTATTCATACCTATACATACATACATACATACATACATACATACATACATACATACATACATATATATATATATATATAATATATATGCAATCGTTCCTGAAATTTTGGGATATAGGCAATGATAGATGGGCATGCATATGTTAGTATTCGTGAGGGGTGCGGAGCCGCGCGAAGAATGACTAAGAACAGTGCATACATACAGACACTCCTTATAAAGCAAGATAAAACTAGAAATGTTCATGCCTCGTCTAATCTGACATATATTGTGTTCACAAATTTTCAAGAACACGCGGCAAGGCCTTCTCTAACCCTAAGCTTTAGACCCAGTTGGGTACAGGGCCCTGAGCCGATCGCAATATATATATATATATATATATATATATATATATACTACACACACATATATATATATATATATATATATATATA